TGCATATGCTGGTAAAAATGCAGTGTACAAGTGCCGCAAACTAACCATAGCATTTTCCCGCGCTTTTCGCAGTAAAACATGTTTTACAGGTTAACACTTTGTTATATACTACGCCTCAAACACCATTAACATTGACCTCTCATGGTAGTTAAATCAAAAAGCGAACATCTTATACATGTTACATACCGTTATACAAACTGCGCCGTAAATCAGACTCATTATTATTAGTCATAAATTACATGTAAATGTACTTTTTAACATTTTAATAGGCGGATTTTTGAAAAATTCACAAAATTATTATAGCATCATGTCATTATTAGCACTTACCCTTGTCAGGAAGCTCCCCTCTCGGCCTGGACTCAGCCCCAAACTGAGGTGTGTTTATTTGGTCGCTGCTGCACAGTATGACCAAAAGGATCTATCTAGAATGAGGTCAAAGTGAATCTGTTCGCAGACACGTGTATATAGCTGTCGAAGTATCACCAAGAAGCCTTGGTGCAGGAGCCAATCTTGAGTCTGAGCTCCTTCCTCCAGGTTACTTTCTTTTTCCAAAAAAAGAAGCTGTTATTGACCAATTCACTGAGGTAAAAAAAAGGGTACAACATAATTATAATGATTAATATACAACGTACAAAAAGGTTAATTAACCGTTACATAAAATGCAATCACAATTTAAGAAACTGTCAGGAATTTTTGTTGGCTCTGATGTTTTTTAGTTCTTTTCTTAAAAAATACTTTTCACATACATGGCTTTGGTCGAAAGTCTAATGTAATCTTATTTTTTTAAACAGTGTCCATTTCCCCATGCATTCTTTTCTAAAATTGTGTGTTTGTATGTAAAAGTGCATATACTGATTAATGTTGACATTTTGTTTAAATGCTTGTTTTCAACTCGTTTTTAATGCTGAAATGATGATTTCCGGCATCAATCAGTGATAATTTATTAATCCGGCTTAACAGCAGGTGATTGGATTTGTTGGCTCGTGATTGGCCAGAATGCGAACTATATTATGTATCCTGATTATTATGTGCTGAGCTCTTAATTAATGCTTTGAAAGGTTTATTGTCTAACCAGCCTCAAAGGGTAAATTTTTATATTTAGGCCATCCTTTTGTTTCTCAACTATCTGTATATCTTCAATTGTTGTCCCAACATAGATCGCAACGACTTCTCTCAGGATTCTTTTTACGGAAACAATCAATTCCCATAGCTCTAAACATTGAAAACTGTGGTATCGAACCCCCCCCCCCCCCCCAAGAACCAGTCAAAACCAGTTTACCCTCATTTTTTTTTAAATTTAGAGAAGCAAAGGGTCTTAATATCTCCAAGTAGTGACCAAACTTAATAATTTCAATATAGCTCTCTACACATGCATGTGTGGTTCGCTCTTCCAATTGACATTCTTCAATTGAAAGATGTTCGAGATATTCAATAAACAATAATTAATGTGAGGTGCAGATATGAGCTTTTTAAAAAGGGGGAGGTGCACAATGATAAAGTTTTTGGTCATATTGTAAAGGGACATTATAAGTTGAAATCTATCATATAATTTAAGACAAAATGGGACATCTAAAGTGAATCATCATTCGATTTCTCTACTTACACTTATATTGAAAATTGCCACTTGTAAAAACTGGTTGCAATGTCATATGTTGCTCATTTTTTAAGAATAGAGTAATAGTAGATGCCAAATTCTGTGTTCTTTACATTACTTCACATAATTTTAAAATAATTTATCTGCATGCATTTCAGTGATATCACTTATCGAGAAAGTCAAATTTTCCGACACATTTTTTTCAAGAAACCGTAGTTTTTTGAAGTTGGAAAGTGTGACTATATTATAGGACATTATACTCAGTGATCAATTATTAAATTTTGCTAAGCATCAGAGAAAAAGAAAATGTAAACAATTTTACATAACTAATCGGAAAAGTTACTGAAATTGAACGCACAATATTTTTTTTTTTTTTTTTTTTTTTTTTTTTTTTTTTTTTACAAAAATTAGTTTTTCAATTTATGGTTAAAAAATGATATGATATGATGAATTGGCCTTCCACTCTATGTTGTGTGCGACATACAAATTGTACCGTGGAAATAAATAGACTTTACCTTTAGTTTCCGTATCTTTACCAAATTTCCTGTAACTTATTTATTTTTAAAAGATTTATAGACTTCAAGAATTGTACAGTAGTCTTACTTTCTTGTATATAATATATAGTTCAAAAAGAACAAAGTATTTTTCAGCCACCTTTATATATGTACTGACCCCGGAGTTTGGAATGTAGCTAGTCATCGCGTAACAGGACATTTTGTAAACACATGCATGTCGGAGAAGATATTGACCTAAATTAAGCCCACTGATTCCGCAAGAAAACCTGCATACCATGTACATTTTATTTTCAAACATCGAAACAAATCCATTTTCATTATTTTGTCTCTGCAAAAAAAAAAAAAATGCTGCTAGGGTCCCCTTGAGGATACATTGATGAAGACTACGCGGAATTTATGCGCGCGCTTCACCTTTACTGTAATTTGTATAAAACATGCATGCAGTACATTATAATAAATACTGCATGTACTGTAGGGTGCGCCTCGGGTGACAATAGTTTTCTTGGGATGAAATATTTTCAATGTTACTCTGAACTAAATGTGGTATTTATATATTGATTTCATTTCATTTATTGTCAACACCAAATTACAGGCCGTATGAAGCAAATTCGGTTGGGGGGGGGGGGACCAAACATTTTCAGTTGGGGGAGGGGGGCACTACCAAAAATTCAAAATTTACCTGACAAGCGAAAAAAAAATTAAAAAGGTCATTAGATGTTATTATTGAGGGGGCACAAGCATACAGTAGCTATGTTTTCTATAGTATTCTATATATCATCAAAATTATTGGGGGGCACGCCCCCCCCCCCCGGTTCCTAAGGCCATGTCATACATTTGCATATAGTCATGAATACAAAAAAACAATAAACATACATCAAAATATCCAATTAATTACTGCAGCCATATGTGTGTATATCAGTTATGTTGCAGTTTTTCATTTCTGATATCAAAGCACTTCTTTAGAAAGTTACATACTCTTCAGTAATAGAGTTTTCCTTCATGTACGAGGGGCGTTCAAAAAATACGCGGACTTGTTGCAGAGAAAAAATATTTGACGACAAAAACACACAAAAAGTCACACGTATTATAACAGAATCTTTACTTTAGTGAACAACAAAATTTCATGTCAATATTTTGTAAATAAATATCAATTCTGAGTGATTACTTCAGACCTATGATATCAAGAAATCACGGCGCAGTTAAAATGAAATCTGTGACGTCACGACATATAAAATATGCGATCTCATTTTCTCAAATAGTATTCTCTTTTGTGTTTGATACACAATTTGTGTCACTCTATCCACTCATGATCATGATAAACATCAATATTTCATTCCTAAACCAGCTTGGGAACTATAAAACTAGAGAATTGTTTTAAATCTTGTATGTTCTTAAACCCCAAAGCTGCATACGTACTTCTGCAATATTCTGTGACGTCGGTCGCCATTAAAAACGGTAACAGTCCAGTTCACGATTTTGTCGATGATCTTCTTCCGACCCCCCCCCCCCCGAACGTTAATAATGTCCTACCGTCTGAAATTTTCTTGTGCTATTTGTAGACAGATGTCTGGCTTATCGCTTTATTACATGTTTCATCAAGTATATTTTGGGTCTCCGTGTGCGTTTTCCATATTCTACACATGATTTGACAAACGTGCGCTGCTCCGTCGGCGAATCACTCGACGTCATTTTTGCAGTTGTTTTTATAAGGAACACATCGGAGAAAAATAACAATATTTCTGTTAATACTTGAAGTATTACGTCAATAATTTTAATTCATAATAATGTAACAGTATAAAGAATCTTTAGAGAAAATTGTCGAATAATCTCGCGAATTATAGAAAATCAATGAGAAAAATTATGGGTTCTGTGAGTTCGTTTTTCAAATATTTTGCCGTGCTCCGTACATCACCATCGGCAAAATGAAAACAGCAATAATTTTAAGAGAAATTAATTATTATCAAAAAAAAATTTCCAAAATTTTACTAAAATCATTATGAAATAATTTTCTGTAAAATTTCATCGCTATTTGACGTCAGTAAAAGTAAATAATAGCAGAGTCCGCGAAATTTTTGAACGGCCCTCGTAATATTGAGAATTGAATATATCGCAATATTATAATCTACATTGATCGTAGATAGGACAATAAGGTACAATTTTTTTTCATTTTCAATAAATAGTTGACAAGAATTATATACACGTATTTCTTTAGGAACATGTGGCCTTGAGTATCTCCCAGTTTCATATGAAGTGTATGAGCACTAATTCTTGTTCATTAATTGTCCAGAGATTTTGTCACTATAGTGCTCCTCTAATTTATATCTTAAAGATATATATGGCTTATCTGAGCGAAAAAATAATAATACGAGATTGAGTGTAAAATACATGATAGATGTTATTCACATTCAAATTAAAATTTTCACCAATTTTGAACTTGAATAACCTCACGTTTCTGTAGTTAAATTGGCTTTAAATTTGTCTGTTATTTAAATGTGGAGTCGGTAAATAAATCGGTTATTGTTTTAAATTCTGAATATCTTTGAAACGCGATTGATTTATATTGTGTAATTTACAGGAAAGTCCTTTCTTTATATAAAGTAATGAAACAAATAGAAAGATCTATTTAATTTTGGTTATCTGAAATTATCAAAAAAAAAAAAAAAAAACTCCATATATGACTTTAACTTGAAGTTTTATGTGATACGTCTAAAGAAGCTAACGATAGTTTCTGTTGTAGCGTAAAAAGTTCTCTTTGCCAATTAAGATATTCTAGACCCCCAGTGTTTTATCTTCCTCAAATGCAGACACCACTAAATGGTCATTATAATTATTCTCTGACTCTAAATTTTTCAATCTTAAACAAGAAATTAAGCATATTTTCATAAAACAAGTAAAATAGTGAGAATATATAGACAATTATATTCTAACTAAAAGCAAAAAGGAAGACCACCCACACCCCACACCCGCAATTTTGTGTTTTCATATGCAGATATATTATGAATTAAACTTTGATACGTGCAAAAATCGCTTTGCATCCACATTCAATCCCTCATTATATAACACATACCGGAAACCCATTTGATGTACGAGTTACCCAAATGACGCAATGTCACAAGACCGGAAATTCCTTTCCTTTCGTACTTTCTTTTTCTAAAAAAGGAAGTAATGGCTTGATAGCGTCGTCATTAGTGAGGGCTGTAAACGAGGAAAATGTCCTTCAATCCATTTGTTTTGCCTAGTGGGACAGCCCCCCAAGCAAACTTTATGAGACAGATGGTCCCTGGAATGCCGATGCAGGTTGCACAGTTTCCTCAACAGGTGCGACCGATTGGAGATTTTAACCAAGTACCCCAGTACCAAATACAACCCCAAACACAGATTCCACCCCATCTTCAGTACCAACACCAAATGCAGCCACAATTTATGCAGTACCAGCAACCAATACAGCAGATTCAACCACCTGTTGCTGAAGTCTACGAACCACCACAACCTGTGCCAAATGTACAACAGCAGCCGTTGGTGCAACCCCAGCCCCAGCAATCCTCGTCCTCGGGTCAAGATTTTAACCAATCCATTGTTAGGAAATCCATTGAAATTCTCTGTCAACACAAGAAACCCATGTCTGCTGCTGAACTTTCCCAACAGTTAGCTTCACATATCGTTCGATTAAGTGAAAAACAGCTCATTGAGGTTTTGAGTAATTACCCAAACAATTTTACAATTTATACAAAGGAAGGGACAGAAGATCATATTCTGTCAGTCTGCACTAAACTAGGCCTATGTAAGGAGCACTGCTCTAAACAAGGACAGTGTCCTGGGATACCGGTGTGTGATGGACTCCACATTTGCAAGTTTTACCTGCTGTCCAACAGCTGCAGAGTTGAAAAACAGGGCAAAAATTGTCTATTTGGCCATGATCTGACATCTCCACATAATATGTCATTGTTGAGACAAAATATGTTAGAGCATTTAAGTGTACATAGTATTAAGAATCTATTTCGTACCACTGAAAGCCGAGGAAGAACCACCATGCCAAGTATATGCAAGTTCTATAATATAAATGTAGGATGTCGGGCTGAGGAAGAAGGAAAGGCTTGTCCTTACTTACATATCTGCAAGTTCTATGTAATAGGGCAGTGTAGGTTTGGGAAGAGATGCAAGAGAAGTCATAATGTTTTTGATCAGCAAATTACAGGTTTGTGTTTGATGATTTTCTTCTGTATTTTCATATCAGATGCCATTTAAAAAAAGAGAGTTCCTTTTCTTATTAATTTCAAATTGTACAGAATAACTGGGCTCAAGTTTCTATGTAGGATTTTATTAATGAAATTAACATCCATATTACAATTATTTTTGAATTTTACCAAAACTACAGTTTTACAGTTGGGATAAGAATCATATTTGCAAGTAGAATATTATACATGTACCATGTTTATTACAGCTATTTATTCTGTAGGTTCTAAACTTATCTGTACTTAATTACATATTGTATGACAATTTTTGTTATAAACAAGTTTAAGTACTAATTAAAAATCATTTCTGAATTGAATTTCAATGATTGATATTTCAAGTTTGAATTAATTTTCTAATTTTGTAAAATCAAGTAGACTTTCATAGAGTAATTTTCATAAGTAGAGGTATGCACTAAAAATCTAGAAGACTTCTGAGAATAATTTTGATAGCCTTTAAAGGGACTATCTGTACACAATTCTAAACAATTTATTTACTTCTCAGATATCTTGACAAAGTATGGGATCAACACAAACAGAACTCCCAAAGAAATTTTACAAGAGATCCGCAACGTTGAATTTGATGTTGGTGATGATGCCAGTAGCCAAGCATCTGCCCATAGTAAAGATCCATACAGGTAGTCTTGTAGTAGCCAAGCATCTGCCCATAGTAAAGATCCATACAGGTATTCTAGTAGTAGCCAAGCATCTGTCCGTAGTAAAGATCCATACAGGTAGTCTTGTAGTAGCCAAGCATCTGTCCATAGTAAAGATCCATACAGGTAGTCTTGTAGTAGCCAAGCCTCTGTCCATAGTAAAGATCCATGCAGGTGGTCTTGTAGTAGCCAAGTCTCTGTCCATAGTAAAGATCCATACAGGTAGTCTTGTAGTAGCCAAGTCTCTGTCCATAGTAAAGATCCATACAGGTAGTCTTTTAGTAGCCAAGCATCTGTCCATAGTAAAGATCCTTACAGGTTGTTTAGTACTAGCCAAGCCTCAGTGTATAGTAAAGATCCATACAGATAGTTTAGTAGCCAAGCCTCTGTCCTTAGTAGAGATCCTTACAGGTTGTTTAGTAGTAGCCAAGCCTCTGTCCATAGTAAAGATCCTTACGGGTTGTTTAGTACTAGCCAAGCCTCAGTCCATAGTAAAGATCCATACAGATAGTTTAGTAGCCAAGCCTCAGTCCTAAGTAAAGATTTATACAGGTAGTCTTGTAATATAATTATTTTTGTTCAGAAACAATGTTTTTGAGAATCTGAAATATAGGTATTAAAGTGGCTACCTGATCTTTTTCTATTAATTTTTGAATGCTTTAAGTCCAAAATACTGTAAACATATTTTTTTCCAAAGGGTCATAATTCTGCAGAATCACCATTTTTGTTCAATCTGCGGTTAGAATATTACTTGGATTTCTTGGGTTTCCATTGTACAGTATGTCTTAAATGCATTTTAAGTACACAGTGACAAGTTTTTGCAGAAACATTGTGACCTCTTACATAGCGTAAATTAATCTCAAGGGGAAAAAAATACATCTACAGTATGTATAGTGTCAAATCCTGAACTTCTAGGGGATTTATGTCTCACAAACTCAGCTTTTTTTCTATAGAAATGAAATGAATTTTTGTAGATTATCTTAAATACATGTATAGAGAGATTCAAGAACAATGTCTGATGGTTTCATATAAATTTTTGAATTATTATTTGATTTACTTTAACAGAACAGGGGTAGATTCCGATAATGAGGACCCTGCAGAGAGTGATGATGTATCTGCCAGTTCCTCCGATGACCCACCAGCTGATATCTGTATATTTCACCTGAGAGGACGCTGTGCCTTTGGTAAAAGTTGTCGTAAATCTCACAAGAACATGACGTACCAGTGGCAGTATCGTAAAAAGAACCTGAATCAGTGGGAAGATTTCCAACACCATCACAATGTGGAGGTGGAGTACAACTTTGGTGAAGTTGCAAGGACCGAGTGTTTTGTTAAAACTGAGTACGTATCTCCATAGTTAGTCTTTTAATGCAAGTCCAAGTTTTGTCATTTTTCTTTGGTTGAAGTAAGTTTAAGATAAATGACAACACATTAGAAATGATTAAGATGTCCACCCTAGGAAATTTTAATTACATGTACATGTATATGAATTTTGAATTAAAAATACATTTCTAGGTTCTGCCTATTTATTTATGTAATATTTATTCCATCTGCCTGTTCATAAGACTGAAGATTTGCTATGGATAGCTGTTAACAAACTTGGAATGCATCTATACTTGCTATAGCATTTTGAAATATTTTTTAGGTCTGGAGTGTTGAAGTTAAACTTTGACACAATGGAAGCGGTTCTACAAGAAAATAACCAGGTTGTAGTTCAGATGATCCTGCGTCGACTTTCTACACCTTCCTCTGAGGTGGAAAAGTTTCAGCCACTGGCCACAGTGTGGAAATGGTTCTGGCAGAGTGAAGATGGAAACTGGCAAGAGTATGGACAAGTAAGAAATTATCCACAATTCTATGTAAAGCTTCTTAATTGTTGAAATTTCATTTCCTCATATATTTGGTTGAACATGCAGAGGAATGATATGTGTCTTCTAACAATTAACTTCTCACTGAATGGGATGTGCTTAGACCTAACTTTTCACACATTCAAATACACTTAATTTAGTACAGTTATAAAATTTTTAGATACATTCTGTCATCTATCCACCAGGTGAAGTTAAGTCAAAATTTGATTATCATTCCCCATTAAGTTCAGATTCCCTGAATTCTGATTGTATTTAATTAAAAAAGTCATATAAATCAAATTCACAGAATTCTGATTAAATATATGTAATAATGAAATATAAATGTGGTAGATCATCATTTTGGTATTCCCCAAACTTTGCTGTTAATAGTTATACTGGTGCAGTGAATAGGATTCTATATATAGGCAGGTTACGGGCCCAGTAGATATCAGACCACAGTGGACAGCTCCAGTATGGAACAGAACTTCCTGAAAAACCCCACCGGTCAGCTTCAGTTTAATACCCTGGGCTATGAGTATTTGATGGATTTTGAGCAGATGATCCAGCAGAACCTTCAGTACGGAACACAGAGAAAAGTCCGTAGACGACCAGTGTATGTTGACGAGAAACAAATGGAGAAAAACAAGAAAAAGTATGTCTGAATCTGTAATGAAGTAATATAATCACAAATTTATTTAATATGCTGTGTTTTGTTGTGTGTACTTTGTATAGATATGAGATTCAGATATAAAATTTAGATTTTGATAAATAATGTATATGAAAAATATTCATGTTTTAATGTACCTGTATGTAGATCCTTAAAAAAAACATTGTAATGCAAAAGAAATGTGAACCCAACCCTTCAAGCATTTCAGTTTAAATATACATAAAAATTAAACTTTCAGTAAGGTCAAAGTTTTAAGTGAAAAAAAACTTATCTTTGCTACTTTATTAAAATATGTATCACATTTTATTATATACCCAGCTGTTTGTCACTCAGTTTTACTGTTGAATTTATGCAATCATGTGACGGTGTGATCCGACGTTCCGGATCACCACACTGTGGTTTTTTGAATCCATATCACCCCTCTCTGAAACTGATGACGTAGTACACAGATAAATGACGTTTTTATTCTCGCGTATCAAAAAGTTCCTTTACAAAATGGATTGTTTAATTGATAAAAGTTATGTAATTGATCCAAAAAGCTTCCTTTTATTATATTTTGCTAGTTGGAAAGGGGTATATAATAAATTTATCATTATAACAGTAACTTGATCTGAAGTGTCGTATCACGTCTCGTTTACAGGCGCGGATCATCAGATCAAACTCGACGCTTCGCGTCTCGTTTGATCTGATGATCCGCGCCTGTCAACTTGACGTGATACGACTCTTTGGATCAAGTTACTGTTATAATAATATATATATATTAACCTCCACTGAATATTTTCTTTTATCTATTATGAAAACCAAATGCTGCTATCAATCGATTACAATAATTGTTGTTCCTAATAATGCAAGGTTTAATTTGTTACAGTAATTGCAGAAAAAAATACTGTAAAATCTTTTTAGCTCACCTGAGCTGAAGGCTCAAGTGAGCTTTTCTGATCACATTTTGTCCGTCGTCCTTCTGTAAACTTTTCACATTTTCGACTTCTTCTCAACAACCACTGGGCCAAATTCAACTAAACTTGCCACAAAGTATCCTTGGGTGAAGGGATTCAAGTTTGTTCAAATGAAGGGCCACGCCCTCTTTCAAGGGGAGATAATTAGGAATTAGTGAAAAAATAATGGCATCATTTAAAAATCTTCTTCTCAAGAACCACTGGGCCAGGAAAGATGAAACTTAAGTGGAAACTTCTTCAGGTAGTGTAGATTCAAATTTGTTCAAATCATGACTCCTGGGGGTAGGGTGGGGCCACAATGGGGGATCAAATTTTACATAGATATATATAGGAAAATATCTTTAAAAATCTTCTTCTTAAGAACAGCAAAGCCATGATTGGTCATATTTATATGGAAGCATCCTCAGGTAGTGTAGATTCAAGTTTGTTCAAATCATGAAAATATCTTTAAAAATCTTCTTAAGAAGAACAGCAAAGCCATGATTGGTCATATTTATATGGAAGCATCCTCAGGTAGTGTAGATTCAAGTTTGTTCAAGTCATGACCCCCCCCCCCCCCCCGGGATAGGATTGGGCCACAATGGGGGATCAAAGTTTTTCATAAGAGTTTATCGAAAAAACCTTAGAAACCTTTTTCTCAAGATCAGCAAAGCCATGATTGGTCATATTTATATGGAAGCATCCTCAGGTAGTGTAAATTCAAGTTTGTTCAAATCATGACCCCCGGAGGTACATGTAGGGTGGGGCCACAATGGGTGATCAAAGTTTACAGAGGAATATATATGAAAAAATGTTTTTCTCAAGAGCAGAAAAGCCATGATTAGTCAAATTGATATGGAGGCATCCTTGGGTAGTGTAAAATGAAATTTGTTCAAATGAGGGCCCCCGGGGGTAGGGTGGGGCCACAATGGGGGATCAAATTTTTACAAATGAATAATGAATATATGGGAAAAAATCTTCTGCTCAGGAACAGCAAAGCCATTCCCCGTAAACCTTTCAATACTGAACTGACTTTTGCATTTTTTCCAAGCCAATGTGCTAAGGTGAGCGATGTGGCCCATGGGCCTCTTGTATTTTTGTAGGGTCAGTTTTATTCATGGTTTGAGGAAATGTTGGTTCATGATGATTTGATTTCATGGTTGAAGAAATATCAATGATACTGTAGTTAAAATTTTGATATTTCATGGGGGATATAAATTCATGGGACTCTTCAAACCACAAAAACAACAAAAATTAACCCCCATGAAAATTAGTGATTTCAAAGTAACCCACTTATGCAGTATTTATTCTGCAGTGTTGAAACCATTATCCCCACATCAACAAACAAAGAAGGCATTTTATTGTTTACATATGCCATTCAAGGAGTAAACTGTATCTTGTTAAAATAACAGGAAAACTTTTATTGCTTTAGAGCACCTGAGCCAGGTTCACAGACAGGAAAAGAGGTATCCATGGTAACAGGTCCAGCACTGACACGCCCAATGCAGAACTACATACCAGCAGAGTGGGAGATTCACTTAAAAATGATGGGAGGCCAACAACATGTCATAGAGCACTTCCATAGGACAGTTGTAAGTAGAGAATGTCAAGGTCATGTTACATTATATAACACTTCCATAGGACAGTTGTAAGTAGAGCATAGCAAGATCACATTACATTATATAACACATCCAAAGGACAGTTGTAAATAAAGTATGTCAAGGTCACATTACATTATATGACACATTCATAGGACTGTGGAAGGTAATGCATGTCAAGGTCACATGACATCATAGAACACCTCTATACAACATATTTGGTACGTAGTGTTAAAAATCATGCAGAATCATAGAAAACTTCCTATGAGCTATGATCAAAGGAATGATCAAGGTCATCTTGGAAAGTACATTTACATTGTGTCATAGAGCATCTTCAAGTGCTTAAAATGCAAGCACTTGTGAATTGCAGTGTTGAATAAACTGGCAACTCACTAAAGCATAGTCTATCTTAACAATATGCTCTCTGCATAGAATGTGACTTGATGCTTATAACCAATTCAGTTTACCAATGATATAGAAATGTACAATAATTCATTGGTCAATTAATGCTATTGATGTGTAAAACAGACAACTATTGATATGTAAATGTACAATATTTTACTGACTTATTAGTTTGATGTATATAAAACAGATAACGGGAGACAACTCTCCCAAAATAGCAGAGGAAGTGAAGAGAATCAAGGAACTGTTCTACCAGACCATGTCCCCTAACCAGTATATCACCTGTATAGAGAGAGTAGAGAATGGAGAGCTCTGGATGAACTATGTCAGGTAAATAGAGAGAGTAGAGAATCAAGGAACTGTTCTACCAGACCATGTCCCCTAACCAGTATATCACCTGTATAGAGAGAGTAGAGAATGGAGAGCTCTGGATGAACTATGTCAGGTAAATAGGGAGAGTAGAGAATCAAGGAACTGTTCTACCAGACCATGTCCCCTAAGCAGTATATCACCTGTATAGAGAGAGTAGAGAATGGAGAGCTCTGGATGAACTATGTCAGGTAAAGTCTGATAAAGAGAGTAGAGAATGGAGAGTTCTGGATGAACTATGTCAGGTAGAATCTTGGTTGTCCAACAAATTTCACTGATATGATGTTATCGAAATTAAGCTTTTTGGCATAAGGCGGAATAATTTTGTTTATTTTGTAGCAAACGTGAAAAAATGAGCATGAAGAGGCGCACAATAGGAGATGTGAATGAGAAAAGGCTATTTCACGGCACATCAAACAAGTTCATTGATGCCATTTGCAGACAGGGATTTGATTTCCGCTTCAGTGGTCAGTCAACTGGGTCAAAGTATGGAAAAGGAAGTTACTTCACCAAGAGTGCCAAGTTTGCCGACAGCTATACAGACCGCAGTCGAGACAAGGAGATGTTCCTGGTACGAGTCTTGACAGGTGACTACACCCTGGGCCACAGCAGTATGGTACGACCCCCACACAAGAACCCTAAAAATCCTTTTGACTTGTATGATTCTTGTGTGGATGATATAACAAATCCTAATATCTTTGTCATTTTCACATTTGATCAAGTTTATCCAGAATATGTCATTAAATATCGATCATAGATTGTTTTGCAAGGAAGGAACAAGTACAGCTGAACTTAGATATGTCAAACATCATATGTCAAATACCAGGGATATGTCCAAGGGGTCAGGGGTCTTATGTATCACTATGTACTCTCAACTTCAGTAACTCAAACCTTTGGATATCTTAGAGTTTTTGACATCTTGTTTCTGATATTTTAATGAATTGACTGCAGTGTAAGAAATCCATAATAATTTGTTGCAATAAATTAATTGAGATCCATTTTCTTCATCTCAATTAATGAAAATCATTGCATCTATTGTAAAAAAAAAAAAAAAAAGTTAGAAAAAAAAACCAATTTTTCCCCCCCATTTGCCATCAAAATTTAATATGAATGAATTTTACTATTGTAAATAATGTCCACTTCATTTTAACTTGAATATTGCAACATGAGAAACAATGCGTGACAGATAATTTTTTTTATGCCTAATAGTAGGGATTAGGGGGACAACTTGTTTTTTTTCTGCTAGGTTATCTGTTCACAACTTCATTCTTGGTTGCTTTTAACTTTATCTTTGACCATACCTATTTGAACTACGAAAAAGGTGAAGATAGCAAACAGTGATTGATCTAAAAAGAATTAACAAACAATACAAATCAGTGAACAGGGCATAAAACACGAATGCTTGGAGATTCCAGAGGTAGGATCAGGTGCCTAGGAGGAGTAAGCATCCTCTGTTGACTGGTCACTCCAGCCCTGAGCCTATGTATTAGCTAGCTATATGGGAATGGAATTTCATTTATGGTTATTAAACAGTCAAAGTCAAGACTTCAAATAGGTCAATTTCAAGGTCATACATGTACTTACATAGGTAAATGCAAAATACATCGTTACTATGCTAGGAAATTGTCGTTGACTGGAGGCATTATATTTTGGAAGGGATGAACTCGTGAGATCTTAAATTTTATCAACCGATCACTTCTTTTTAAATAGATGTTTAGATTAGGGTAATAACTAAAGTTTTTTAATGCTACAGATTGAATTTTCAATGTGAAGGGTGTATTTCAAGATTTTCTTTTTTACTTTCTTTCTCATTGTATTCGAAAATTTTATATGAATATATGATGTAATTTGAAGTAATCAAAATCTGAAAAGTATGGAGAAGCGATATCATATGATGCTATATTTGATTTATTTGATTTTTTTTTTGAAAATGTTCAGTTGATTTTTATGAGACTTCTTTCATGACAATGTTACACTTTTAGACCATTTACGAACAATCTGTTAAAATGATTATTTTTTATAATTAACCATGTTTCGGATAAAAATGTATTTCTGGATAGGAAACAAAAATCAAGTTATGAATGTGTTTCTGCATAAATCACCATTATGTATAAAATGGAGCTTACTAATGAAGTATGTTTTTGTAGATATCCAACATATAGTTTCAGTTGTTGAAAAAATGAAATGAAATGAAAATGTTACTGTAGAAAAGATTTGTTTTGTACATTAGTGATATCCCTTGACATGGTTGTATAATTTTTATATTTTCTATATCACTTTGGGTTTTTTCTGTTCTTTTTGTTTTGTGTTGGTCACAATTCTTTGTTCTGTATTGTTTTCACAGGTCTGGTTTTTAAGAAATGGATTAACTTAACAGACAGTAGTGTAACTGTAGTCTTCGTATAAATATTGCAATTTTTTTGTTTGTTTTTGGACTATCGGTGTGTTTATATATGAAATACTCTCAGACCTGCCTATTCTCCTGATTTACCCATAACCTTGACTATGTTTGACCCCCTAAATATGATCTATGATTTTAAAAGCCGTATCTCCTGAATTTCATCATTTTTAGTTCTAAAGTTATGAATCAGGCTTCACAAAACTCATTCTTGTTTTATTTTAATACTATTGTTTACTATTGCATGCTAATGAAAATTAGAGTCAGTAGGTAGGATTTTGTATTTATTTTTTAAAAAATTTTTACATAAAGGCATAACTTTAAAATAATTTTTGTTTAAAGACAGTTTGGAGCTCTTTTACTAGCAATGAAATATTTTTTTTTATACAATCTATCCAACAACTAGCTCTAAAATGGCTATTAAAAGATTATCTTACAACCTGTAAACCATTTTATTTGAAGGAAATATTCAGATATACAATTTCTGGATTTTATAAATAAAAACAGTATTCAGGTTGGTGCATAAAATTAGGGTTGGTATGGTGACCTTAAACAATTTTTTTCTTAAGGCCTAATAATGCACAAGCAGTCGGATGCTTTTAAGAGCAATGATAAATCTATATGCATTCAAGCATTTAAATTGCAAGACAAGATGCCCAAATATGTGCACAAAAACATCAAGAGTAATATTTACATAATAGTTAAAGAAATATTTCAGACTTTTTCTTGTCAAAACCATCACCATGTATAGTTGATTTTAAGACATAACTTCTGCGAGTTAGTACAGTGATGAGTAAATTTGTTTGATTTGAACTCACATAAATTTTTTGCATTAAGAAGACAAAGTCTTCTACATTAAAGTCAAATCTTTTGGACAAAATGATGGAAAACTATGGAAAACATCCATTTGGAGTAGGCAGGTATGTAATCTGTTTCTCTATCTTTTAACCTTTACAAATACACATAATAATGTTTGTAACATGCACAATGCCTTATAAGGGACCTATTGTAAATTCTGTTTTTGGCAATTGACTTTTTTCCTGCACTTGTATAATCTATTTAAGCATATGATATATATATATATATATATATATATATATATATATATATATATATATATATATATATATATATATATATATATATATATATATATATATAAATGGATGGGAATTTCATCAGAAATTTTTTTTTCCCTTGTGTTTTGTTGTATTATATGTTATTTATTATAAACTTATTAACCACTTGATGTGAAGGAATTCTAATGAAGACATGGTAAAAACAAAGGAGGATGAAATATTAGAATTCCTATCCATCAGTTTAACATTGTGGTAAATCTCAATGGTGTTATAAGAAATGTGAATCTGGGTTGCATTTTTAAAGAAAACTTTTGTGAAATTTTCAGCATAATTTGGTTGTATTTCATAGATATTTTTTAAACATCCATGATTTTTAAGTTGGGCATCATTTTATTTTTATAATAGAAATGCAATCCAGGTTTATAGCCGAGATTTTACAATGATATTTCACTTGAAAAAGTACAAAGAAAAAATGATATAAATTTTAAAACAACAAATGTTATCAAATTTCTCATCACTATATTTATATCTACATGTATATTTTTGATTTTTTGGGACATTTTCTAAAGTACAATTTGACAGCAATATACCAAAATGTTTTCATCCAGTTTCACTGCAAAGTTTTACCCTTTAATTTCTGCATGACAGGTAACCAAAACAAACAAACAAAGCCTGATCCATGGGGAGAATATACATAAAAAGCTCATTTAATGTTACTGTGTTAGATGGTTTAAAATTTAATGAAGTCCAAAAAATTTAAATACCCACTATGTAAAAAAAAATGTGGCTGTAAAAAAAAATTGTTATTAAAAAGTGTTATCATGCAGAAAACGAGCATCATTCAATATAAAAGTCATTATTTTAAATCATGAGTATACTTGTTTGACTTGACCATAAAAAAAAAATATGAACATGTATTAGCCATTGCTTGACAGTAATACATTCTAGAAATTTCAGTGCTTTTGATAAAAAAAAAAGAATTCAAGAAAGTATTTTTCAAAATTAAAAATATGCATCAACATTTAAATAAATACAGTGTCTAATTTTGAAATTTTATTTTAAGTACATGTACTGATACCTGGTTTGATTTTATAGGATGAACAAATGAAAAGTATGTTGTGAGTTAAAGAAAAAGTAAGGCCAGTGTAATGTTTGTTTTGGATTTTTTTTTTTTGATTTTGTTTATTTTTTAATTTGATTTTTAAAACCTCTTTTGAGAAACAAAAAATTACAAATTATTCCTATGTTAATATTACAAAAATACATGCGAGACAATATTGTTGTATAGAAGATTATCCATCTTTGAAGCATCAATAATATACCATGTAATTCCTCCACAAAATTTGACAAAATACATGCTGTTTTTTGTTTGGTACTTTAGCTGTATCATTAAAGTATTTTGGCCTGGTTTTCTTAAATTCCTTGCTGCTGCAATGTTTTTAAATTTTGACTTTTTATTCAATATATAAGTATTTTTTTTAATTTAAAAGACACTACCCTGGCTTAACTCTATTGTCATGCATTGAATTATGTCCATATTTTTTTAAGAGTTAATTGTGTAAAAACAATAGAGCATAATCCATAAATTTGATTTAAACCCCCCCCCCCCCCCCCCCAAAATTTAACTTTTGAATTTTCTCATCTGTGTTTCTATGTAAACTGATTTATACATTTAAGAAGAAGAACAAAAAACAGGAAAAACATTTCAGATGTTGAGAAATTTTGATAATGTATGAAATACACAAGATTCCAAATCTTGTGTAGTCTTTAGTTGTATAGAACAGATAATGTTGTTATGGTATTGTTTGTGTTTTGAAGTAAAGCAACATCAGGTATGTTTTTATGAAACAGAAACCACGTATGTTGAAGAGATTTGTATATTTGGTTCAAACTGAAATAAAAATGTTTTGGTCAACACAATTTTATATTAAAAATAATTTGCATTTTCTTGAAATTTTAAAATAAACATTTTGGCAACTTCCTTTCTGATTTGTTTTGACTTTGAGCTTTATAAAGCATTATTAATTTCACCGGAATGTACAATATGACATAAGTATCTACAGGATAAAATGTTGCTGCTGGATGATTTAATTTGGTTTTTTCAGTCAATAAAACCTTAGGCAATATAGCCTATCGGTATGGAATAGAGCATATACATGTATTTCAATAACAAAAGGAGTCATAAATTAGGAGGTTGAAACGACTAACGATAAACGAAACTCAAACAAGCCTCATTAAATAATGCGAGGACACATTTTGCACACATTTTTCCAATACCTGAAATTCAAATGTGTGAAAAACGGGAACAAACCATTGCATCCTAAGGTTAACACGCCTCCTTTTGGACTATACGTTGGGCAGTTTCATCCACTCTTCTTTTGTGTGACTTATGTCATACTTGGAAATTCCAGCTTTAATCTTGGCTTTTCCAACTTTAAACTTGGAAATTCCAACTTTAATCTTGGCTTTTCCAACTTTAATTTGAGCTATTCTAGCCTTTTTCCTTAGCTTTATTTTAAATAATTACCAACTTTATTAATGCAAAATTAATATACATGTACTCTGAAAACCCTTATATTTCTTTTGGTCCATCTTATATAACTACATAGAAAATAACTTCATACATTTCCAACTTTAAAGTTGGAAAAGCCAACTTTAAAGCTGGAATCACCAACTTTTAAAAGCTATTACGTGGCACTAATACGCTCCCATACTGTACGCTATACCGGTAGCAGGCACGTGCACGTACGTAGGAACCAATTTTCAATTGGGGGGGGGGGGGGGGGGGGACTACAACAGAACAGAAATTTCCTTCCCTGACAAGCCCCCCCCCCCAATAAAAAAGGAGGGGGTCATCAGTTAATATTTAACAAATGAAATTTCCCCCAGCGCCTACTCAAACCGCCCACGCAGATGGCATTGTTTTTATTTTAAATTTCTTGTTTTAATTTCTTTCTTGATTCTTGATTACTGAACCTTTGATCAGAAATGTAAATAAAAGAGTGTTATTTATGCCTCTGCTTTGATAAACATGCAGTCTATTAAAGCTAGAATTAACGAATGTCATTTTTTTTTTTTTACAAGAAAGGATAAATATTCCAGTCTAAACAGAATTAGAGTCGTAAACTTGGATATCGTTTACACATTGTTAGGATGAAGACGACAACTATAAATATAGCAATCCTACGTAAGCAAGTATGTTTAACAATAAATATTGTCAAGTACCGCGGTACGTATTACCTTTTCAAGAAAGCTTGTCTGATGTGAACAAAATTATGCTAAGAATCAAGAAAGTTAAATTCAGCGTAATCAACATAAATCTGAATCCAGAAATTAATTCCATTGCTAGGAATCAAGAAAAGTTAAATCCACTGTAAAACATAAAATGAGACTCTCGGATTTTGAATTTATTCTATGTCTTATTTTTTTGTAAGTGTGGATAATAGCCTGTACTTACAACACATAAAGATTGTCATAAATGGATAAAAAGTTTGATTTCTTATCAATGAAATATATGGAAATAAAGAACAGTATTCAAGCTCAAAAGTTCATTAAACAATACAAATCAGGAGCAGAGCAAACACGTACCTCTAAAACATCAGAGGTGGGATCAGGTGCCATGGAGGAGTGAGCATCCTCTGCCGACCGGTCACACCCGCCGTGTGCTCCTTGTCATGATCGGGAAAAAACGGAAAAATAATTAACTATAATTGTACAAATGAGCTAATTAATATATCGTTGTACATATGTACATCTGCATTTCATTTCTATATTTCTTTTCTTGTGAATTAAACATGTCTGCAAGTAATTAAGATTCTGAAGGTAGAGAGAGGGTACTGTGCATTAAAAATTATCTGACCAGTGCATATTTAAACACAAAGTATACACGTTAAAGGAGTTTATAGTGGCATAAATTGAGCACGGCTGTAGATCCAGAGACAAAAATAACTAGACGAGTGGTTATCATTGCTATTATTGTCTCTAGCAAAAGGAATGGATGGACTGCCAACACAAAAAGCATAATTACATAAGCAGTTATTAAGCAATGAAGTTTGCATTGAGGTCTATGAAGAAAAATAAAAATTTAAATACTGTGAATACAAAGCATTGTCGTGGTAAAAAGACGTATTTTGTCATTAGGAATAATATTTCAATTTAAAAAGATTGTTTAACTTGCATGTACTGAGTAATTGATTTTTTTATTGATTAAAAATTAGTGAAAAATTTCATGGCGTCTTTTTAAAAATCTTCTTAATATATAACCACTGGTCCAGAATACATGAAAACTTTTTTGACCCATTGGTTCTTGAGAAGATTTTTAAATTGCCCTACCCAATTTCTACTTTTTCATCATTATCTCCCCTTGATAGAGGACACGGTCCTTCATTTGAACAAACTTGAATCCCCTTCAACCAAGGATGCTTTGTGGTAAGTTTGGTTGGCATTGGCCCGTGCAGTAGTTCTGGAAAAGAAGTTGAAAATGTGAAAAGTTTACAGACGGGCGGACATACAGACGGACAAAATGTGATCAGAGAAGCTCACTTGACCTTTCAGCTCAGGTGAGCTTAAAAAGTCGTTATTACGGCTTAAGAAAGTTGTTAAGAAAGGAGATAAAAAATAGATCAAAAATCGTACGTTATTATTACGACTTTTTCCAGATTAAAGTCGTAATAACAAGATAAAAAAGTCGTAATCACGAGATGAGTCGTTATTAAGATTCTTAAAAGTTGGTATTATATAAATATTGCATGTAGTTGAGTGTAACATTGAAAATTTTCACCCCAAGAAAACCATTGTCAACCGAGGCGCAGCCGAGGTTGACAATGGTTTTCTTGGGGGTGAAAATTTTCAATGTTACACTCAACTACATGCAATATTTATTATATTATACTGAATGTTTTATACAAATACACATTACAGTGTACCTTGCGCGCTTAAATTCTGCGCAGTCAATATTTTTTGGAATATCACCCGTTGTCAAGCAATATTGATTGTTGCTACGCTGGAGGGCGTGGCTTCATTATTCAGCGGGTTATTGTGTTTTTTAACAAATGTTTCTCGACGAATCAGATTCAACTATTCACATGAAAGTATAATATTACTAAATATCAGTTTCTCAAACTATGACCACTTTGTCGTTAGAGCTTTTGATTCCTGGACCTTAGGACATATGAGTTTCATATTTTTTGTAAAGAGCTAGCTAGCTGCTCATTATAATCATGCAAACAATTTGCCTGCTTAATATTCATGAGTAAATCAATTAAGAGGATTTTCAAAGATGTACACTGATGTTATGTACATCGAATATATGACCAATCCCTCAGTGGAGCGCGAATTTACTTTAAACCACAATCTTTGGTTCATTGTAATTGTAAATTGATTATGTTCATGGATTTTGATTGGCTAAATATTTGTTTCTAAAATTACATCAGAAAATTATCGTAATTATTGCCTGTTTCCCTGGCCTATACTCATAATGCCCCATAATTGGAAGCATAACAGGGACAGGGAACCAGGCTAATGTAGGACCTATATTTGCGGAGCATTATGGGTATAGGCCAGGAAAACAGGCTATATGGTAATGTGTTTATGGAAAATAAAACGTAAAACAAATTTTATTTATTCATTGTGCACAATATTAAAAAACTAGAAATGAATTCTTAAACCTACTTATTTTTAAATTTTGCTCTCTGCCCGAGATTAGTACATACCACTTCATCAGTGGAATAAGACGAATTTCCAGTCGGTGAGCAGAATTTTGACACTGTTTACGGCGATAAAAAATAAAATCAAGTATGCCATGCATGTTAGTGTAGATAAATTATTGTGAAAGAGAATGGTAATAACTATTAGACAGTTTGTGAGTGCATTTTCTCTGAAAGTGTAAATGATTGCGGTTATGGGGAAGGGTGTACTCCATGTAATTTAGAGTAAATACCTTGTGTTATTATTATACTATGGGTTAAAAATGTACTACAGAAACAAGTGATTGTGGCTTTTCCATACCACACGCCGTAAACAGATCGAGAACCTTAGAGAACTCTAAAGAACCTTAGAGAACCCAAATGCTCTTTAATTATTTATTGCCTGTAAATGAAATATTTATGTTTTAAATAACCAATATATTACACACAAACAAAGTCAAATTTGAAAAAAGAATATTTTGCCACGTTTTATGCCTAATTTCAACGGAATACTAATCCATGATGACTTTATCATATGATAAAAGTAATAAGAAATTGATTGTATTATGTATATTATTGTATATGTTGCTTAATAAATTGCTTAAGTGTTCTACATAACTTAAAAATAATATTAAATTAAAAATATTAATTTGAAAGAATTGTAAAATTATGTGATCTGTAAGTCTCGTCACGTGACTCGCGAGATTTTTCGATAATATTAACTTCCGGGTACCTCACACATGGAGATGTGTATTGGGTTACACATGTTTATGGTTTACACAAAGCATACAAGGAAAGATTAAGCAGTTGTACAAAGTCGAAGGGTTCTCCGACGTACGATGGATGAATTGAGTGTCATAAAAGCTTGGATGCGAGCATCCAGGAGAAGAATTTCGATCGAAGTACAGGTAAACAAGTCGGAGAATGTCACCTGTTTCTTGTGTATTCTTGGGGAAATCGAAGTGTCTTGTATCATACCTGGATGGAATAGTTTTGTTAGCTCACCTGAGCTGAAAGCTCAAGTGAGCTTTTCTGATCACATTTTGTCCGGCGTCCGTCTGTCCGTCTGTCTGTCTGTAAACTTTTCACATTTTCAACTTCTTCTCAAGAACCACTGGGCCAAATTCAACCAAACTTGCCACAAAGCATCCTTGGGTAAAGGGGATTCAAGTTTGTTCAAATGAAGGGCCACGCCCTCTTTCAAGGGGAGATAATTAGGAATTAGTGAAAAAATAATGGCATCATTTAAAAATCTTCTTCTCAAGAACCACTGGGCCAGGAAAGATGAAACTTATGTGGAAACATCCTCAGGTAGTGTAGATTCAAGTTTGTTCAAATCATGACCCCCGGGGGTAGGATGGGGCCACAATGGGGGATCCAAGTTTTACATAGAAATATATAGGAAAATATCTTTAAAAATCTTCTTCTTAAGAACAGTAAAGCCAAGATTGGTCATATTTATATGGAAGCATCCTCAGGTAGTGTAGATTCAAGTTTGTTCAAATCATGACCCCCGGGGGTAGGGTGGGGCCACAATGGGGGATCCAAGTTTTACATAGAAATATATAGGAAAATATCTTTAAAAATCTTCTTCTTAAGAACAGCAAAGCCAAGATTGGTCATATTTATATGGAAGCATCCTCAGGTAGTGTAGATTCAAGTTTGTTCAAATCATGTCCCCCGGGGATAGGGTGGGGCCACAATGGGGGATCCAAGTTTTACATAGAAATATATAGAAAAATATCTTTAAAAATCTTCTTCTTAAGAACAGTAAAGCCAAGATTGGTCATATTTATATGGAAGCATCCCCAGGTAGTGTAGATTCAAGTTTGTTCAAATCATGACCGCCGGGAGTAGGGTGGGGCCACAATGGGGGATCCAAGTTTTACATAGGAATATATAGGAAAATATCGTTAAAAATCTTCTTCTTAAGAACAGTAAAGCCATGATTGGTCATATTTATATGGAAGCATCCTCAGGTAGTGAAGATTCAAATTTGCTCAAATCATAACCCCCGGGGGTAGGGTGGGGCCACAATGAAGGATCCAAGTTTTACATAGAAATATATAGGAAAATATCTCTAAAAATCTTCTTCTTAAAAACAGTAAAGCCATGATTGGTCATATTTATATGGAAGCATCCTCAGGTAGTGAAGATTCAAATTTGCTCAAATCGTAACCCCCGGGGGTAGGGTGGGGCCACAATGAAGGATCCAAGTCAAGAACAGAAAAGCCATGATTAGTCAAATTGATATGGAGGCATCTTTGGGTAGTGTAGAATGAAATTTGTTCAAATGAGGGCCCCCATGGGTAGGGTGGGGCCACAATGGGGGATCAAATTTTTACAAATGAATATATGGGAAAAAAATCTGCTGCTCAAGAACAACAAAGCCATTTGTTATATTGATATGAAAGCATCATCAGTTTGTTTAAAATTCAACACCCCCCTCCCTGTAAACTTTTCAATACTGTACTGATTTTTGCTTTTTTTCCTAGCCAATGTGTGCTCAGGTGAGCGATGTGGCCCATGGGCCTCTTGTTATCATCATTCCAATTAATTTATTAACAGATTTTTCTTGAATTCGAGAACAATGATATTAATACCAGCTGGTAAAAGAGGAATAGTGTAAGTGCCCGATGGGTACGAACGTCATCTTGTGACTGCATCACCTTTGTTTGGGTAAATAATTTGTTCAGAATACGCTTCATTTATCAACAGAATTTTAGCTGTTGCGTGCCAGTGAGTCTAGTCTTAAGCAATCAATGTTTGAAAGAACATATTTCTCGAGGATAGATTTTCTTTATATATTCTGCCAATTCTCTCTGTATTTATCATTGAACAAAATTCACATGACTGCAACAATATGACCATATTCTTCAGTTTAGAGAGTATGTTATAGAGGAGATTTTGGTTAAAGTTTCAGTCTGTTAAGGTTTCAGTCTGTTTCAGTGTTTGAAATATTCTTTCATCTTACACAATTGTATACATTAAGATTCATTTCATAGCTGAAGTACAAGAGAACTGCAGCACCGAAGACTACATGTACATCGATTTGAATAATCTGGATCCTCAAAAGGCAAATCAAATACAGGTATGAAATAATGTCACAAAATAAGTTCTTGGACTTACATTTACTCTGATAATACACATAAAGCATATCAAAAATAGTAAAGAATTATAGGTACATCAGGTGACAACTCAGTCAAGTATGGAATATTATTAACGCTGAGTTTCCAATTGTCAAAAGGGTATTCAATATATTCAATACAAGTTGTCAATCATTTATAAGTGATTTGTCCAGTGGTGCTTAACTTTTCTCCCACAGGTTTTTACACATTCACCCATCATTTATCTATACTGTATTCAAGCATTTCTGGACTTTTTTTGTTGGGAGATGTAAGATTTTTGAAGTCCTTTATGATTTGGACACTTTTTCTTGATCCAGTAGATGCTTTTTTTTCTTAATTAACATGACACTGACAAATATTGGACCCCCATAACTTGAATGAATTGTCATTTCTTGTGAGAGTGATGTAGTTGTAATAAGTATAGATCTATGCTGAGAAGAAAGAAATCTATGAAACCAAGCAGTTTTGTGTACTTGTTTGTACTTGTTTTTTTTATAACTTGTATTTTTTTAAATAAAAAAGCACAGTAGCATAGTGGTTTTCTACTGAGAAACCAAGGTTCATTACACAGTATTGGTGTAATGTTGTTACACCTGAATATGTTATAACCTGATGCATTTGGCTCGGGCAAAAGGGTACTTGTGCATCTAAGGAGTTGATCAATGATGGGTCTAATCAATATTCACAAATGTCACATATGCATATAACCAACATGTCAGCGATGTATATGATATATCTCTCAAGAAACATCAAAGTGTAAAAAAAAAAAAAAAAAAAAAAAAAAAAAAACTTTCTTTCTGTGCATCTGAATCATTTATAACACTAAAATTGTATTTAAAAATTAGGCTAACAATAATGTCAAAGAACAATATAGTCTTTAACACATAAGTACAATTTTGCATTCATTCGTCTATTCACTCTATTGTATTAAATGAGGTTCATTTGCATATAAATGTTGTTTACATTGTTTTACTGTCTTTAATAACTTGTAATACTAAATTTTATAACTTGACAAATTCTTCTTTTTAGAAAATGCATATAATTTGGAAAAGAGACCACCAATCCACTGGGGGGTATCGCATAAAAGCAATGGTATTACAGAATATTGTAAAGCTGGATGAGTTATAGTGAAACAGGTAGGCAAGTACTTTGTTCTTGGAATTCTTCGCCCCAGTTAAGTTTTATTTTTCTCATTCGGCCCTCGTTACAAGTAGGTGAATTTAAAGCGGGGCAAATTCAAAGAAGGCAGCATATATCTTTTAAACACAAATGTGCTTCATCAAATTTTAAAAGGGCAAAATTGTTTTCAAGAGTGAAAGAGTGAATATATTAAAAATTAAAATGGGGTGAAAATACCCAATAATACAGGTTATATGTATTTATGTATTAACACAGTATATTCTTTATAATGAAAAAAATTTGTTCTGTAAAAGGACAAATTTTGTTCTGATTTGTATTTAATAAAAAAATAAATGCCAGATTTATAACATATTTTGCAGGCACCTAAATTACCATCAGTTGTGTGTCAAGCTGTGCAAAAATTCAATGTCATATTACAGAATCTTTTCTTAAATACAGGTATATGTCTGCTCATCTGGCAATCTTTGGATATCACTGGATGGTACTTCCAGCATGAAGACCAGCTAGTTGCCTCACCTGTCTTGACATTGTTAAAGGTAAGTGACCCTTTCAGAAAAGGATCTGACGATGCAAAGGCTTGCTCATCAATTAAAGATTTCTATTTACCAATAGCTAATTAATTTGAATTTCTGTAGCTTAAAAATTTAATGATATGAATTAAAAAAAATATTTTAATCAAAATTATTTTTATTTCAGTACTTTAAGACAGTGAAAAGACATGGCTCTAAATTACTGCATCAGAGATCTATCCAGGTTATAAATCAGAGCAAAACAATAAAGCATCATTTGGAGCTACTTATATCACTGCCTTAACGAGTTGTCTGCAGACGGGGCATCCTTAAAAACTTCAGTCGCACTCGTCACTTAGAATAGAAAACTTCATATTTTTATAACTTTTGTATCAATCCTTTTGCACTTCATCTGACTTGGAATTTCAGTAGCCTTTACATGTAACATCCTTCAAGCATTTCATGAAGTACCAATTTGCAGGTGTAAAATGTTTGTCCCAAATGAAACAAAAAAAAATAAATTCTCTGGCAGTTAGCAGTGTCCTGAGCAGTTGATTGATGTCACAGTTCCACCAGCATAGTATTTGTAGTTGAATGGTGCCATTTTTAAGAAAACTTTTCACAAAAACCTGGAAAACATCAGATGGAAAGGAGCATCTACAAGAAAAACAGTGAACACTTTCTTGAATATTAACAATGATATGTCATGCCCCATTTACATCCTTTATATAAACTAATTAACCAAATCATAGAGAATTATATACAAATTTGTCCTTTTGTGTATTTATAGTGTATTAAATTGATTTTACTAATTTATAAATATTTATGTTTTTCGCAGTCATAAATATTTACAAATATAAGTACATATAACATAAAAATATTACATGTTTATTAGGATAACATGAAATTGTTATTCCTCAAAACCATCGCTGACCGAGGCGAACAATGGTTTTCAAGGGGTAACAATTTCACATTACCCAAAATAAACAAATAATATTTTTCTTGTTTTAGAATGCATTTGAAAGAAAACATCAAGGTGAAACGAACGTGCAAACATTCTGCACAGCCAACAATCTTTATTACTATACATTTACATTTCCAATGTCTTTGTCCGAGATAAAATTTCAAATAGTAAAAATACTTTATTTCTACATCGATCTACTGGTTCATCCATAGGCGTGGTGAAAAAAAATATCACGTGCTGAGCGGGACAAATAAAGACAGAAGCGGGGCTTGAAGCACGTGAATTTGCAGGATCAAGAGCATGTATATATAAGGAATAACTGTCAGATTTTTTGGTTTCATGACGATGATCAATCGATTGGCTTGCGTGATAATTTTATGCATAAACGCCTTCAGCGTTTATGCAAATTATCACACAAGCCACTCGATTGATCACATCATGAAACCAAAAAATTAGACAGTTATTCCTTAAATATACTGTTACCCTTAGTCATGCATTTTCAACCATTGGGATGTAATGTTTGGCATGCAGTAGGGTAATAGTACTTGTTAACAAATGTTTTTAAACCAAATTTAACTATTTAACAGGAAAGTATATGAAAAATTTAACTAGCATTATGGTGCTGAGAGTACCGTATATACTCGCCCATAAGTCGGTTTTTTGGGAGTTGAATTTTGGTCCAAAACTCTATATCCGACTTATAGGCGAGTCATGGAAAATTGGCGTTATTTTGAACGCAAACATGTAGTATTTTATAAACGTGTCCGACGATTATCGTTGAATAAAGTCTGCATATATATTTTTTTGTGTTCTAAGATTATGCATAAAGTACAAGCATTTACATATTTCAATAATTTTATCTTTATCTTAAGTGTGCAGTACTTATTTATTTATTTATTTATTTATTTATTAATTTTTTGATGATTTAAAATTGAATATTGGCGTCATTTCTCAAAAGAATTAACTAAAACAAGTTAAAACATTGATTTGAAATTGTCAACCGGTTCTTTCAAAAAGTTGTACCGACTTATATGCGGGTCAATGGCAAATCCCTCCAAAATAACCTCAAAAATTACAACCGACTTATAGGCGGACCGACTTATAGGCGAGTATATACGGTAACCATGGTATGTGAGCTTGTGTGAACTTGATCCTGAATTATTATGTTTTGAATATTGTAAAAGAAATGTGCAGCCAAAACTTTGACCTGTACCTGATTTAGCCTTCTCGGAAGTTGTCACACTGTTTACGAGTGTAATAACTGGGATCTGCTTCATTTGCAGATACATGGATAACACATTCACTCAAAGCACTGTCCCTTTTTCAGTACCTTGTGCAGCCCTGTAATATATAATGACATATGGAGAAAAATTCTATTTCAAGAAAAATATCTGTCATAATTGTAGGAGTATTGGAAAGGGGGGAAGGGTGTCATGAAGCTTGGCAGTTAATATGTGTACATGAAAAAAATACCTTCTTTTTTGTAGAATAAAAAATGATTTTTTTTTTAGTGTGTGTGACTATTTTTATTTCTGGATAGACCATGCATGTAGACAGGGTAGACTACAGAATGAGCTGTCCATTTTTATTCATTGTAGTAACCAAATTAAAAAAAATAGAATGTGTTCTCTACAAGGATCATGTGTTATCGACGTGGTAATCAACTTTGTATTCCCATGGTCGATGCATTCCCGATCTCATACACACCTGTCCAATACTCCAAAATAGACCCTTGTAAGCTAAATCAATGCAATAAATTTCCGAAACCAATCTGTAGATAAGCTTACCTTTTGCTCAGGTACCCGGAAGTTTAAACACGAAAGTGAAAGTAAACGAGACTTACAGGCCCTTAACGCCGTTTTTGAAATTCAATCGGGATCGGGATGACATAAAATACTTAACCATCTATATTGTTACTACGATATTCAACTATTTTCTAGGGAAAACATTCATTAAATGATCTTGTTATTGATTGTATGCATAGGATATGATTTATAAAAAAAATCAACTCAATCATGCATGAAATTTAATTGAATTTACCAAATAAACATTGATTTCTCTAGAGTTCTCTAGTGTTCTCTTTTCAGTAGAACGCGCTAAATTTAGTAAAGGGGATTTCCATTCCAATATATGCGCCATTCATTTTATGACTAGGAGCTGTGTAACGAAGACGAAACAGTTCCAGGTCCGGATTTAATTACTGAAAACAGGAAAATGTCGGACGATGAGAAAGATATGGAGATGGGTGATGAGGAATGGCCCGGACAAATGGGAGAGGAGGGAGACCTAAAAAGTCAAAACGAAAGAATAGCGCCTTACCAGCTTATGAACAGTACCGGGGGATATGTGTACCAGACTGACTATATAACTCAGCTGATGAGGTTCCTGTGTATCGGAACAACAGGCGGGACATATTACACAGGGGAGGTCGAGCTAACCAGGGAAAATGCACGCTGTATTGATAGGTATATTAATAGACAGTGAAACCACAAAGGGTGCATAGGTTTCCCGCTTTTCTTTTGCTCTTTCTCAAAACAGAAAAATGTACAAAAATTTTGTTGTTGATTATCGATAATAATTAAAATCACTATAACTTTACCTTCCATAATATCATGAAATATACAGAATATGTACAATATCACAGGGATCGACATTAACGGTTGTCCGATTGCCCGGGACAAGTAAATTCTCATTTCGGGCAAGTGAAACTGACGACATACTTGTCCGATCGGGCAAGTAAATTTTTCTCATAGAAATGTACATATTTATTTAGTTTACATTAAGTTATAAATAAAACAAAAAATTAACACTTGATTTCCACCAGGTACCTGACTGACATTGTTTTTGCATTCGGAATTTCTCAGTAGCATTTCTTGATTATACCATTCATTTAAATATCACGTTCGTTATTCTGTTTTCTTTCTTGGTAAACACGCTCTATGTCTAACAACTTTGTTAACTTCTTATTAGGAAATTAGATTATGTATTCACTCACAGAATATAAGTACAGTGTAACACGATGTATCGTGATCAAGATAAAAAAAATGTATGTTAAATAGCAAAGTTCTATATTCTTTTAGCGCTGCTTCACGGTTATCTCTTAGGATAACGATTCACAAAAGTACCTTACCAAAAATAATTTTTAAAAATATGAATTTTATTAAAAGAAAATGGAGGGTTATTGCTACGTGGCAGTGTGTGTTAACAGGTCAAATTTACCAGGACAGTGGTATACATTTATGTACAAACTCTACACTGATTTTTTTTTCAGGTAGCTCAATTTGCCAAATTGACAGTAGTGTATTCGGTCACATTTTTTTCTTATCATAACATTTACAGTAAAAAATAATTTTCTTCTTAAGTTCTTTCCTTATTTTGGGCAACCAAGTTTTGCATTCGGACAAGTCAAAGTTTTAGATCACTTGCCCGAAGGGCAAGTCAATCTGAAAGTTAATGTCTATCCCTGTATCATATGGAATACCATATTTACATTCTTTCTTCTCCTCCTCTCAATTCCGTTTGATTTCAAATGCACGTACCAAACATTGGAGATAGTCAAGTCATATTATGTGCATGCATGGGTGGATACAGGATTTGTGATTTAAGGAGGGGGGCGTGGATAACTTTGTTCAGGCATGGGGTCGCCTTGAGACCCCCAGTGGGTCCAGTGCGAAGCCCTGGTGGGGGCCCAGGGGGCGAAGCCCCCGGAAGCTCCTGGGTTTTTGTGAATTTTAAGAGTAAAACCAGGCACTAAAATAGTGGTACTGATTAGTTATGTACACTATGATATTTCACTTTCTAAAAGAAAAACGCACACACACACACAAACAAACCAAAAAAAAAAACAACGGACAAACAAGATCAGATTTTAAAAATAGCATTTTACCTAGATATACAAGAAGTCAAATTAATCAGAATGTTTTTCAAAGTACATTGTCACTTAAGAGGGCTGGGTGGTTGTGGCCATTTTTCAGACTATATTGATCTCCTTTAGAAGAAGAGCTCCATATAAAGATATACAAAAAGATTATGAGATGTGTGTAATGAAAAAAGTCTTGTATCTATGTAAGTAAATTACTGCATAGTTACACCATTTGAGAAATAAATACATCAATCAGTGGACGGGTTTGTAAAGTAGACCGTCTGATTTTAAATTCATTTACCTTCGACCAGCCTTTAAATATTGCAGTATTTTTCCTTGCATCATGATAGGAAATTGACAAGTGCAGTCTACCCTTCAAACGAAATTGGGAGACGTTTTCCGGTTTGAATAATTATGAGATAATATTCATAGCCTAGGGATTGCCATCTTCGCTAGCCAAGGGTTTCTGATACGCTACTCTCCTCATAAGCCCTTGGCATACGGTGTTAAAAAAAGTTGGGATTTTTTTCTCAGGTTGTGATTGGAGTTGATCGACATCGTTCGACCAATCAGAAATTGTTTTTTGTAAATGACGATATTTGCGTTCGGGATATATCTTGACTCTTTAATATCGGGAATGAAAAACGCAAGTAAACAACGATCCGTAAGATAACATGCCATTCTATGAATAGCTATATGGTGTCATCCAATATCTTAAGCTACGTGCAAAATATGTGATTAAGAATCTATACTGAAGATGTAGATTTGCATTTTAACATGTTTAATAACAAATTAACATAACTTAATACCTTCTTGTTAATTATTCTTTAAAAACATTATGTTTTTAAATACGCTTTTTATTTCTGTCGATGACGCAATCTGTGCGAACCTGGTAAGAATCGTGATCACGTGACGAAAACAATCCCGTCTTTTGTCAGCACCGTATGCCAAGGGTTTATGAGGAGAGTAGCGTATCAGAAACCCTTGGCTAGCGAAGATGAGGGATTGCAAGGTTTTCAGACTTGATTTTTAAGAAAACCGATACTTGGTCATTAAATAAAATAACCATTTTTTAATTGACCATTAATTATAAAACCAAAGTATGGCATTATTAATATTAGTCATGTCATACTTTGAAAATTTTAAAAGGGGGGGGGTTGCGCCCCACGCCCCCCCCCCCTTAAATCCGCCAGTGCGCTACAGTGTATGTGTTAAAAGACAGGGTTTTTAAACAATAAAATGCTTTGTTTTTACTAAGCAGGTTTGAATTATGTAAATTTGTTCTGCATTGGCCATTGGGTTCAACCGTTGATTTGAGTTAATGATTTCCATTCTGATTAACAAGACAGTCATATTTTATTGTTTATATCTTATAAATTATCTGTATAAGCGGATTGCTAGTAAGTTAAATATTGAATTATTGACACAGGCACTTGTTTCATATATGGGGTCACCCCCTTTTTCTTTCCACGAGGTACCTAACTCAAATTCAGGCACCCCCGCTTCAAGCTCGTATTTTGTTATATCAATCATTAACCTACTTTAAAATGACATATTTCGCTTTGAGTGACTTTTTTCCCTTGTCAAATAAATCGTTTAAGATGACTCTGGTCGAGCCTCTATATTGTTAACCACTCATTTATTCCTCGAAAATTACCTCGATACATATTAAAGGTGCTTGGACACAGATTTGAAGTTAATATTTTCTCAAATTTTCTGTATAATTTCATGACTTACGTGTTGCTATAGCATTTCATACTAAAATATGATAAAAATCTTATTTCATCTCGAAGTTATTGAAACTTCAAATTTCTGGACGCGTTTGATTGACACATCCTTGCACTTTCACAAATTTTAATTTTATTCTAATACTTAAGAAAAGTGGCAATTTTGTTGTGTATTAATGAAAAATATTTAAACTATAATCCAGAAAATTCAGAGTAGAAATGTTCGAAAGCAAAACCCACTCACAGTATTGTCAGTCCGTGCTCAGTGGTGTGTGCAGACTTTAACAATTGAACACACCCGGTGAATCGTAAACATTAACAATAACAGAGCTCGTGCCCTGTTTACAAAAACAGTTTACGTTTCACGGGTGTATTCAATTTGTTAAACTCTGTACACAACACTGAGCTAGGGCTGATGATATTAGAGAGGGGGTTTGCTTTCGCACATTACTACTCTGAATTTTCTGGATTATAGATGTAATGTTTTTCATTAATACACAACAAAATCGCTTCTTTTCTTAAATATTAAGGATATAGATAAAATTTGTAAAAGTGCAAGGATGTGTTAATCAAACGCGTCCAGGAATTCGTAGTTCCAATAATTTCCAGATAAAACAAGTTTTTAATTATATTTTCGTGTGAAATGCTATTGCAATATTTAAGTCGTGATATTATACAGAAAATTTGAGAAAATATTAACTTCAAATCTGTGTCTAAGCACCTTTAAGACTTGGATGCATCCATTTCTGGTTGGGATTATAGATGAAGGATAAAACCAGAGTCCTCGGAATGGAATATACTTCGAAGAGTCTGGTTTTATCCTACAAATTTGCGGGGATCGAACCATAACGTTTTCGATTCCATTCCACTGAACGGGTACCGCGTATTACTGAGCTATCATCGCTACACACACACACACACATTGTGGATTTTAAAACGACAATGAGGCACTGCATTTACACAATGGGATTTTTCGGAAAAATTTCATTTTTTTATGGTTTATGGGTCTTGAACTTCTCTTTGCTCGTTTCTTTGAAATAAAAGAAGACAACGTCTCAAAATCATTGAGAGATGACCCAGAGAAAGCATTTTTTTTTTTTAAAGAAAACCTGTTTAAAAATGTAACATTTTGTACCAAATGATTTTCAAGTTATTTTTTTTGTAGTGAATCAAAACACAAACGGTAGAGCGCTCGCTCCGTGATCGGAATCACGTGTTGGAATCACGCCCGCGACTAAGTCGATAAAAAATAGATAGCAACTGTTCCTTCGCCAGGCCTTCGGCACTCATCTTCGCTAGCCAAGGGTTTCCGATCCGAAATCTACTCTACTCCATTGAACGGGGGCTACTTTAGAGGCAATAATTATGGCTTCGTCCTGTATTACACGTGCACGGTGTGCCGATTTCCATCCGTAAACAAACTTGTGATTACAGTATGTAAAATATAGTCTAAATGCATGATCCTTGGCAAGTGTTATTCTAAGTATTACTTTAATGCTCTTGAAGATTTTTATCGTTTGTCATATGTTTTGTTTTTTTTTTGTCACTGTAAAGTCATATTTTTTTGTAGGGTAAAATTTTCGTGGTTTGAGGAAAAACCATGGGTTCATGGGGATTTGATTGCGTAGAAAGAATTGTTGAGTAGTTATTTATATATTTTCCTGGGTCTCTTCATTACCTCGATAACAGCAAAAAATTACCCCCATGAAAAGTAGTGATTTCACAGTATCCTTTTCGAAGCATTGTTTTCCCCAAGCGGTAAACCAACAACCGTTATCACAAATTTTAGGCGGAGACGCAAATCAAGTTATGTTTGATGTAGGCGACAGAGTCATCCGGGATTTGCCGAATGACTTTGGGACATGGTAACAACGAAAACAAAAAGCAACCAGTTCCTACCTGATTTTAAATATGTACTTTTATCATAGAGAGTTTGAAGAAATTAAGTGACTATGCGTGCCACGGCCCTGGTTTAATTAAGAGTTTAAATAATTACAGAGAAGGACTCTTGTATATGCTTTCTAGTATTTAGGCAGAAATGATGACACCTTTTTATTGTAGGTTAATAAACGGTGGAAAAGGCAAAGAAGTAGTGGAGCTGGTTCGTGAATTCAGCGTGGAGAACCGAGCATGTAAACAGCGACCAATTATGTACACCCTGGCGCTCTGCTGTCGTTCAAACGACCCCACAACAAAGGTAGAGGGCTATAAAATACTGTCTGATGTGTGCCGAATCCCAACACACCTGTTCGAATTCATCAAGTACTGCGAGGAGGAAAGCGCTGGAACAGGATGGGGGCGTGCGCACCGCCGAGCCATATCTAAATGGTACTTGAATTACGGGAAGAAGGAGGGAGGGGGAGCATTTCTTGCTCTTCATATGACGAAGTACAAGAATCGCTTTGGTTGGAGCCATAAGGATATTTTCCGGCTCTGTCATATTAAACCAGAACCGGAATACCCCGAGATCAAGTACCTGATCATGGTTACCACTAAAGGAAAGAAGAAAACAGACGAGAGCGATTTTGTTCAACAAGAAATAAGAAAACCAGGATTTGAGAACTCCGAACTCAAGAAGGTAATGACCTTTATGGATGCGGTAACACGAGCTGAGCATTGTACAGATGCAGAAACCATGACACGCTTGATACTGGAACATAATTTGACAAGAGAACACGTTCCTACTGATTTGTTGAAGTCAAAGGAGATATGGAAAGCTCTGATCAAACATATGCCTATGACAGCGATGATAAGGAATCTTGGAAAAATGTCCCATTTAGAGCTTTTGGAGCCAGGAACTTTTGAGGAGGAGCTGACTATCCAGAAACTGACAAACCCAGAGTTACTTAAACGCGGGAGAATCCATCCATTTACACTTTTGGTAGCTTTGAACCAGTACAAGAAAGGTCATGGAGAGCTTGGAAAGATGAAGTGGAAAAAGAACGTCAAAGTAGAAAAAGCTTTGGAGGATGCTTTTTATCTGTCATTTAAGAACGTGAAGCCCACCGGAAAAAGATTCTGTCTGGCTGTTGATGTCAGTGGGTCCATGAATGTTCCTGTAATGGGCACTCCAACCATTTCAGCACGTGACGCTGCAGCAGCTATGATGATGGTCACCGCTCGTACGGAGCAGAATTATGAAGTGGTAGCGTTCTCAGGTGGACTCACCCCACTGGATATCAAAGCTTCGGACAACCTAGACAACGTTTTGGACAAATGCGCCTCGCTGCCTTTCTGTGGTACCGACTGCTCTCGCCCCATGATGTACGCCATGGAAAAAAAGAAGAAATTCGATGTCTTTGTCGTCTACACAGATTCCGAAACCTACTTTGGACAAATTCATCCCTCAGACGCCCTTGTGAGGTATCGGAAGATGTCAGGGGTAACACATGCCCGCCTGATCGTCTGTGGCATGGCCAGTAATAAGTTCACCATCGCGGATCCTAATGACCCCATGATGATGGACATCGTTGGTTTCGATACAAATGCACCACAGGCTATCCACGAATTTGTCACGGGACATATTTAATATGCCATTTTGCCTGATATATTCTAGAGTGTTAATTTTAATTGGCTCATGATAATGAAAACATTGATTATTGGACTATCATTAAGGTAAACGGTACTTGACGTAAGTATTTTCATCTTTTTTATTTGACTTCATACCTTCATTCAATTTTTTGTACATTTTGTTTTATTTACTTTCAGAATCATTTAATATTTTTTTTTTGTTGATATTATTAAAAGAACTTCTACAAATTTCATCATAATTATTATCATCATTCCCAGTGTTTATCGGTGTTTTTTATAACTTCTTGTTAGTTCAATTGTTACAATGTAAAATTTTAACAAATCATTTTTTCTATGAAGGTATCTGAAATGGTTCGAACGTTCATTTCTTTTGCTTTATAAATAACTATGTATACTATTGTATCACACACACACACACACACACAATAATTTAACTAATGTAAAGATGATTACATATAATGAATAATCGCTAAACAGGGAGTAAATGTTTTATATTAACGTTAAATTCTTTTGGGGATTCTACGTATCACCACTGAATCGTCCAACCAATATGATTATCAAGAAATATCGAACATTAATTTCAACGTAAACATCTACCTTATATGTACGTGTCATTAAAACCCCCCAGCTTTTTAAGATTTTATGGTGAAAGTATGTACTGGTATATCTGCAGATCTGTAGCTCGCTAGTGTAAAAAATGGATTGGACGACCAGAGAGCTACAAACACACCCATAAAAATAGGTGTATATTTATTGCGGACAAAAAAGTTCGATGGTTTCAATTTCTGGCCCATGAGGGCTTTTTACAACGTTTGTTGGGAATGTCTGTTTTGTGGAAGTAAAGGAATATTTTACAAACACACAGTTGTAGCAAAATTTTAGGATGGCAGATATACGGAGAAATAAATCGAGAAACGTGTGCTCTTTTTGGTGCATATTGAATATTGAGTATATATATATATATTGAGTATGCCCATTTTTTTTATCACCAGCGAGCTATTGATCTGCATTGCTAACATTGATATAGTGTCCGTTGCCCGGTGTTTTCAATCGAACTTTGTCATGTAGACTACATCAAGATAATAACACTACGTATAAGTTTTAGGTCTAATAGCAGTTTCCTTGATACCGCCCCTCCCTCCCCGAAAAAATAAGCTGTTCAAATCTTTCAAATGCCCACCCTTCTATTATAGTGTTTGTCTGATTCAGCGAAACTGGGTACGCAAGTAGATTGCCTTTTCAAGATGCATAAATTAGTTTTTGATATCTAATGGAAGGTGATGATATTTAGAAAGTTGGTATTCTTGCGGTTTTTTCCGATTTAAACTACAGTAAACTTTGAAACACCAGGAGATTGTATCGATAAGTATGATAATCTATGCTACTCTTTCATTTTGGTGAAAGCATTTGTATTGCTAAAACAATATTAATTACACATGTAATTACATAATTTCATTTACCTGTCTTTGTTTTTTTTTTTATGAGCAATGTAACTGAATATTCAAAATAACGTAATCTATTAAGATTCTCAACAGTCTGTTAGGGTCAGCTTTTTAGAAAAGTTCATTCAGAACCTTTAACTTCAAAACTATTCATTACAATTCAATTTTTATAACATATTTAAATTAAGCAATTCAAATTATTCATTCAATTAAATCATTCATTATACATTCAATTAAAAAGCTGCTCACAAATTCATAAAGAAGCAAGATTTATGAAGGACTATTTCTTGTGGTGGAAGGATATTTAGAAGAAAATCCTTCAAATCTACACATTTGTTAAATTAGTATCTTGGAACTTTAGCCCCACATATTTTTACTTAGCTAATATTTTCCGTTATGATATGCTAGGAATATTAACTACAGACCTCAATTTATATTTTTAGAACAAATTTTACACATTTACTCAACAGACTTTGCCAGGACATGAAGATATATCAAAGAACTCAAGAGAAAATTTACAGTGTTTCTTGCCCGCAAATTGCACATTTTGACCAATATCTCAAAATTTACGTCACTGACCCCAACTTTTTCTACCATTATTTTAAACAATACGATTCTTCTAACCGATCAGCACTTAAGTCAAAAAAAGTTTGATACAAGAAAAATAATTTAATGCCTATTGAGATTTTTTATACCCCAAATGTGATACTTTTTCAGTGCAAAAAGGTCAGGTCACACAATAATTTATGCGCATTAATTTTAAATATTTACATTTCCAATAAATTTCCCCTGTGATTCTTTACAAAATAGAATACAGTTCATTTTCTCATGAACTACCATGGATGAGCATGAATACCTCCATTGTTACGTCATAATACCTTACTTGACGTCAAAACTATAGTGCAAACTGTTTTGCTTTAAAAATGACAGTTGAATGGCGTTATTTGTGGCAAATCATCAGAAAAATAATGTAAATATAAGAAATGAATTTAATTTTTGAAAATTCATGAGGTACATGAACTACAACGCTTCACGCCGGCATATTTATCATGAAGCGCTAACGCGCTTCATGAAATATGCCGGCGTGAAGCGTCGTAGTTCATGTCCTCATGAATCTTCAAAAATGAAATTCATTTCTTAATTACATCTTATAAAATATGATTAAGATAAAAGCGATTAACCAAGAGTTACAATTTAATTAAGGAATGTTTTAAGTTTTGTGTGAGTTATTGGTGTGTAAATCACACAGACTTGTCACGTAGGCATATTTCATGAAGCGCTTCATATTTACATTTTACATGTTTAAATGCACCAAAAATATACTCAATGTTTGAATTTCTCGCTGCCCATTATCGTCATATTTTTATTAACGTCTCTGTAGCCTCATTGTGACGTCACTTTAGCGCGAGTTTCTCCGTGTATAATATTACGCGTGAGTATACACAAAAATGTTTTTCAAATCAATTTCAGTTGGCTTAGTAGAAAAACACAGCAAATGTAAATATATGCAAATAGGTTAACTTAATTGTACCGTAGCTCGGTAAGATGCACACTGATTCCCCATTTTCTCTGCGATTTTGAGTCGTGTTGTATGAGTACTTATATAAAATATACTTCTCAAAAAATCCTTGATATAAGTAATTTCACGATTGACATAGTTGTTACTCTGATTCTGAAAGTTTGCATTGATAGAGTAAAACGGTAAAAGTCTAGAAAACTCAGCACATATGATTCTGTAAATATACGCGTGTTCCACTGTAGTTTTCTTCGTTAGATTTAATAAAACAGTTTGTATCTCCTCATTGAAATATGTTTCATATTAATATTTTAGATGATATGAGAAAACCCATCTTTTGATATATATTGAAGCATTTGTCATGTTTTAAACAGCACTGTAAAATCACATATTTTCGAGGGGTCAAATTTTCCTGGTTTGGGGAAAAAGTATGGGTTCATGGGATTTGATTTCATGGTTGTTCAAAGAGGTATCCAGTTGTATATACGAAATTTTACATTTTATGGAGGACATGAATTCGTGGGTCTCCCCATGCAAAAAAAAAATGATAATGATAATAACCTGTAAGAAAATTTGTGATTTCACAGTTTATGAATTTCACTTTCGAAGAAGATGGGTGAACATGACGAGCGAAAAGCCTATAGTGTGACAAACATCAAGGTGAAAAATTAAATCTCAATTACATGTATATCAAAATTTTCCTTCGTATTTCATCTAACATTAAAATATACTTTATGTAAAATCTCTACAATTCGCAAAAATCTCACAAAGATTGAAATTATTTGCTTTTGAAATATTGTACACACACTAAAGAGGGCAAAAAGATTCAGTTTCTCATACTATAACACTATTTTTCGATATGAGTGGGTCTTCGCTCCATTTTTTTGAAAGTTAATCCTCGAAGTTTACATGAAAATATACATTTTTTGGTTTCCTAAAATATGGAGCAAAGACCCACTTTACCTTAAAAATATACTTTTATGACATATCATTCGCATCTTTTCGAGAAATACTTGAAGTCCATTAAGTCAAGGGTCACATCAAAAACATGATTTAAATGCCACTATTCATCAGATCTTGCGTAGTCTAGTGGTTAGCGTGCTAGTCTCGAAAGAAAATGATACTCAGGATTTTTATTGCTAGGGTTCGAATCCCCATGAATATCACATTATTTTTTTTTAATAAAAGAATAAATTTTCCGAGAAAATTTTCCTCAGAAAAGTTTTGTTTATCATAATTTCATACATTTCAATAGTGAAAACTTTACTCTAAATACTGAATTCACAAACTGAACATGATTTTTATATATTTGAAGCTATAGGCTTTCTGCACGCTATGTTCGCCCATCTCCTTTAATCATGCTTTTCAAAATAAATTTATTATTCATTGTTAATCTTACATGTACTTTGAAGTATTCACATCTAATAAAAAAAAAATTAACAGAAACTGTTTTTATTGAGGGGAAGGAGATATAATTTCCTAGTTCTGGAAGCTATGCACCGATTTTGCAGATAAAAAGACCACAGAGAATCAATTTTTTGAAACTTGTCCTAATTTGCTTTAAGGTTGGGATCATATTAGTTAATATGTAGTAACATTAACTTCTGTGCAATCTGGATCTGGACTTTGAAGAACTTTGCCCCTTTGTTCATATATGAAATGATAATAATAAATCAGATCGAAAGTAGTCTCAAAAATCTCTTCAAATCTGAAAAGTTCACAAGTCTAAAAAAAAAAACGGTAAACTAACCAAGTTCGTTTGAAATTGGGTCAAAAGGATGACTGCACTTAAGGACATGCGAAAATTGCGACAAAATAATCTTTCAAAACAAGCATTTTTCTTTTAATTGCAGGAATGGTCAATATGTAATCTACAGCTTTACGTAATTACATTAAATTAAAGTATGTATTTACGAAGTACGAAGCTGTTTTCAAAGGTGGGGGTCATCACAATATCTTGAATCTCCGTACGATAATGAGGACGCCCACTTTTTCACTGACTTTGTACATAGTCAGCGCACGTTTGTCTATTGTTCTCCGTTTAACAGTAGTTGTATATTTGCATTAATAATATTGTGTCAAAAGGAGATTAATAGACAAACATGCTTCTTTTTACGTTCGCTCTCACTGTTGTAACAGGGTCAAGGCATGTTGAATATTATAATTCACCACGTGATATCCTACCTCAGGTAACTCTGTGAATACTAAATTCCGTCACGTGACTTGTAAGCTGGCATGTTTTGTGCTAACTAGGACACTCTTCTCGTTCACGTTGAGTTGTCAGGCATCGATTCAAAATATTCTTTACTTACATGTACGTGCTCATATTGTTAATTTCGTTTTGAAACCTTTGTAAATACTATAGTAGTGTACTTGTGCCATACAGGATAAAGAGAGAGATGGGAAAGATTGATCACGTATTTTAATAATGTCATTGTTATTTATCTAGTCTAATTTTAGAGACATTCTTGCAATGTTAGCTCCACCTCTCATGCATACCTAATGTTTAATCAAGGACAGCTAAGATTTGGAAAGGAGTAGGGACAAAAATCATAGAATTATTCTATTGTATCACAGTCTAAAATCATTTTAACATTTATATTAGGTGCCAAATTGATAGAATTCCGTGGTTAAATATACAAAAGTGAAATAAAGTTAGGAAATAAAAGCAGCAGAAGCGACGGGAAAAGACCCAAAACCCAGCGTTAAGCAGCTGTTAAGTGGCGTTATCCTTTATTATCACATGCGATTGATGAACATGAATAAAAAAACGGATCAATCCGTCTACTGACTTTTGTGTCATGGAAATAAAAGTTCTAAAGTTAAGTGATTCCTGTCCAATGATGAAAAGGAGATAAAATGCTTTTAAACTTTTTCTGGAAAATAAACGTTTATTTTGACTGATGCAGTCGGTTGTTTCACTCGACTTGGTGGAGTTGCAAGTTGAAAATGATTCAAGATGAAATAGGTAGGATTACAAGCATAAAGATAAGTGGTCCAGACTATATTCAAGTTGTGTAAGGTCAGTAAAAATAAAGCAATGTCAAGTGTTGTCAAATGTTACGAGCTTCCAATCAGTAGAGTCGTGGGGGCCATGGATTGTGTTTGTCTCCCAATCAATTCATATAGTACGCAATAGTATGAACCATTTTTTTAAAACCAGACTACTACAAATAAGTTGATTTACAGGGCTTTCAAGTCAGCATTTTGCAAACTCCATGGTCGTTATAATTTCTTCGTTTGCAAATACATCGTGTCACTGGGGCATATTTTGACTGACATGTTCCCCATCATTTGTTATACCATTGTTTTTAATACCAATTTTGACTACGGATGAAGTGTAATATTTAAGTTTACTGAATAGTGGTTTTTTTTTCTACTAATTACTACATAATTAGTAAATAACTAAAAGATAATATGGTATAGGTAAATGCAAATGTCTTGAATTTAAGTTTGCGGAAATTATTTCTTTCAGTGCAGTTTGTCAGTTGGTTTATAATC